AGATTCTTTATCAGTGTTTATATCACAAGTTGAATCATATGAGTAATGTGAAGAATATGACCTTGTTTATCATTTCAGAAATACAAAGTCAATTTTTACTTCAAGCTCTTCATCATAGTGTAGTTATTTGCAGCATTATTAGTTGTAATTCTAAGAAGACTGAGACTAATATCTCAATAGTTATTTTTAATCACAGTCATTAATATCTCTATCATATAATTCTTAGTATAACTACTGATTAATGATTCAAATTCAATTAATGTCTCTTGATAAGTTCAGTTCTCATCAATGTAATAACATATAACTCTCATAAATGTAAGATCATTTGTACTAGTTTATATATTCACTGTAAGAGACACTCTTCAATGATTCTTCAACTCTGATTCTAGATATTGTATATTAACTGTGTAGTGTGTCTCAAGATTAAATCAAAGACAGAATTGATGTGAAATATGAAGATTTGAATTAAGTATTTGAAGAAGTATTCAGAATTCAGAGTTTTCAATTGATTGAAGAGAAAGATTCAGAGATATATATATATAAAGTAATTATTCACAGAAGTTATCAGATAAGAGTTATAAAATCAGAGTACTGATATATGATTATTTTTACATAATTTTCTTCAAATTAGAAAGTTAGTATTATTAAAAATTATTATTTAGTAGAGTAACTTATCAGCTCAGTAGTAATTTTCTGATTATTTTTCTTTTATTATCTGCATTCTGATGACTTCAGATGTCAGAAAATTTCTTCAGAGCTATAATCAGTTCATGATAAATATTTCTGAATGAAGTTGCAGTAATTGCAGTAGAGAGATGACTCTTCAGTAATCTGCAATATAATCTATTAATAATTATTTCATAGTTCATCTCAGTGTTTGTGTTGAGTTTTTCATAAATTTCATGACCTGAAATCAGATATGAAGAATGAAGTAATTATTCATTATAATTGAAAGAGAGCATTCTGTGTTGAATTGTAAATAATATAGACTTTGTAATTCACAGTGATTTCTTGAAATGTTTATGAATCTTCAATAGAAGTAAAAGAAGTGAAAGAAGTGAATTCAGAAGATATGATAATAATTTAAGAAAGATAATAATTTATTTTCAATAACTGATCACTGATGTGTGTAAGAAGAATTAATATAAGAGAAAATAATCTTGTTTCTTAGCTTAGTTATAATTTTAATACTAACTCAGATTGAATATCATTGATGTATAAAAGTAAATAAATAATCTTGATTAATCTCTGTCATATTTCTTGAAATATATTAATATTATGAAAGAGAGTGTTATTAAATTATATTATCAGATAATATCATTAAAAATATATTAATATTGTGAATATTAATGTTGAAAAAATGTTGATACTTATATATTATAGTGATTTGTGAATCATGATAGTTAAATATATATATATATATATATCATTCCTGACTTGATTACAACTTGTACAATAATTTTTGAAAACTTAAAATCAATTTTAATTATTAATAATTAAAAACTTAAACTTACAACTAACTAATATAAAAAGAAAAAAATCTACTTCTTCTCTTTCTCATTCTTCTTATCATTCTTTATAATTCACTTCTTATTCTTCTTCTTCTTCTTCTTCTCATCTGAGATAATAATCACCTTAAAATCTCTCTTCACTGCCTTCTCAGAGAAGGGTTCTCACTGCTTCTTCTCAGCCAGGTCAATCTGTGTCTCAAAATCTCACATTTTCTGATCTGCTGTCTCAGGTTTCATCTCAGCAGCAAGCAGATTGACATGCTTAGAGAGTAGAACTGTATTCTTAATATTCTAAATTATGAAGTGCATTTGAGACCTGAACAAGGTCTCAATTCTCTTCTTCTCTGTCAGCTCCTGCTAATCAATTAGAGAATAGAAGTATTATCAAAAATCATTATCTCTTAATAAATAAAAAACTTATCAGTTTTGACTTCTTTGTCTCTCACTTCAACACTCTCTTAATCTTCTTCTATTATCACTTATTTATAGTAACACTCTTCTTCTCTCTTTCTCTCTTTATCTTGAACTCAAATCATTCTCAGAACTTCTTCTGATTTCATCACTACTGCATGAGACTCTTCACTGTCTTCTTCTTCAATCTCTCATAGATAATGCTATCTGCATTATTTCTATACTTAGTTCAGTCTAAATCTATCAGAAGTATTACTTAAAATCATTATTATTCTACTCTCTTACAGAGCCTCTTCAAGATATCATAACATGTCTTGCAATCTGTCTTCTCTTACTTGAATGTCTTCTTCTTCTCTCTCTTCAATCTGTAACAGCACTCACGCGCCTTGATGATCTGCAGGACCGCAGAATATTTGAAGAGAGATGACATGATTGATTTCAGTGAGTGTTGAAGAAGAGTGAAGACAGAAGAGACGGCCAGAAATAATATAATAATAATGATAATAATGATAATGATGATAATGATAGAAGAGAGAGTGCATTGAAATATATTACTGACTTACTAAATATAAAGAGATAAAGAAAATATTAACAGCTTTCAGAGATATACAGAAACAGCTACAGTGTTGCATAGCAACATTATCTTATTATTATTATTATTATTCTTCAATTATAGATGTATGCAGTCAGAGACTATGACATCTACCTGAGAACTTTTAGTTCTCAGGGTTTTTCCTATGTCTGTAAAGTTAACTATTATACATTCATCAATTTCAGATATGCAAAATCAGAAAATTCCAGCTCAGAATACAAAAACTGTTTACAAATTGCAGTGTTTTAACATCTTTTGATACTTTGAAATCATTTGACAATATCATGACAAAGGAAAAGAGAAAAAGAACACAGTCTCAAAAATAGACACATTAAATAGATAGATAGAAAGAAATTGAAAGAAAAAGATAAAGAAAAAGATAAAGTAAAGAGAGACTATAATAAAACAAATTATTAAAAGAGAGTGTATAGCTGTTTTAACAGACTATATCTGATTGATTTCCTTCTCTTCATATTCAGATAATTCTGAATTTAGTCATTTTCTTATAGCTGCTTGAGTTTCTGATAGAAAGTCTATTAAGTATTTAATTCCTGTCTCAGTTAAGAATAAGAATCTCATATTTAATTGATTTAAATCATACTTCTCTTTCAATCTGACTCTGAGACTATTATATAATGCACAGTGCATTACAATATACTCAGAATTCTCATTTATATTGTAGAATGAGCATTCTATTGAGTCAAATCTATCATCAAATCTTTGTATATAAGATTTGAAATAGTCATGTTCTAGTTTCAGCTGTATTATAGATGAGAATATTTTCTTTTTACATTTAATTGAACAAGATTTTCACTTGAGTTTTATTTCAAATCTTGAATAATGTATACTCTTCTTTTATTTCTGCCAGCTTTCATTTTACTTATCTAAATAAGATTCTTTTATTTTTCTCTTTATAAAAGATCAGAACATAATTTTTTGAATAGATCTGCTTAATTCTGCACTCTTTTTTACAGCTGAATCAGTCAATTCATTATCATGAATATTCATATGAGCAGGAACTCAGTGCAGATGAATTATCAGCTTTGATGTTCTTCTCTTTTGAATTTTCAAAACAGAGTTTAAGATCAGTTCAAGATTCATTTGATCATTATGAATCTGACTATTTCTAAGTCTTTTTAAAGCAGCTTGACTATCAGAGAATATTCATATCTCTTTCAAATAATTTTCTCTTTTATGACATTTTATTTCAATGAGTTTGAAAGCTTTCACTATTACAAATAGTTCAGCATCAAAGACTTCACATTCAGAGCCTAGATTTCAGAAATCTGAGATAAAATTGATATTATCTTCAGTATAAGCAATGCCTGCATCTAATCTATTCAAGTTCTTATTTTTTGAGTCATCTGAATAAATCAGAATAGAGTCTTTTATATTGATTATAGAAATTCTCTTCAAATGCTGTTCATATTCTTTCTCTTTTGATAGTTCACTTATTTATAAGTCTAGGATTAGATTAGGGTTTAGATGAGAATAACTGGAGTGATACCTCAGTGATTTCTTATTATCAAGAAAGAGTAATCTGCTGACCTTGTATAGAAGCAGAGTTCTCATATTCATCAATCAGATCTTCCTATAATATATTTAAATGATGTCATAGAGTGATTGGAAACCGGTTCAGACAGTCTGCGGGATGGATGAAATCATCCGCATGAAAGCAATGAGCCGTGTGGAACCGCAGTGAGGCCTTGGCGCGGCCAGAGGCGTGATAGTAATCAAGAGCTGCTAACTCTATTTATTATATAAGAGATAGAAATAAAGGTAAAGAATTCATGAGAAATAAAATTTCTTACAAAAGCAGACACTTATAGAAATTTTAAAAAAATTTATAAAAAAATTAATAGTGAGTTTAAAACACTGTAAAAGCTTTATACAACTTTTTGAAAACAGTAATAAGTATTACATACAAGTCTTTCTAATGAAATTAAATAATATTTTTTCTCTGATATCTTCTACACTTAATTTAATTATTTTAAAATTAAAAGTTTTATATTCTGAGTAAATTATTAAGCTGAGTAATTATTCTCTGAATTAATTATATATGTTTATATAATATATTCTGCATATAGTTTTAATCTTTCATAAATAATATTAATATCTTATTACATTGTTATGCTATGATTGAAAATTAACAGCTCTATAGAGTGCTTTTTGAAGTTTGTTGAGTTGAATGAGTTTGTTTGGTGATGAGTCACGTTATCTCAGTAGTAAAGTAATGGTTAGTAAGAGGTCCGTTATCCTCCGAGAGAAGATTGCCATGATAGAAGCGGCCGGGCCGGGGGTATGTAATTGTTATTGGATTCATTTCATGCGCTAAACCCTAAATGGCCTCGGCGTACATATGTTGAATACTTGCCTGCAGCCTCTCTCCTCTTCAGCCGCAGGCTTGATCCTCATCTGCCTGCTCTCGCTGCCAACAATTCTTGGGTTTTGGTGTTCTTCCAGTCATCGTCCGCGAGGTGTACATAATGGCTGCTGCATGCGTTGAGGCCAGCCTGACTTTGGCCCCCCGCGTATACCTTGTTAGAGAGCAGCCTCCGCGCAAGAATGGACCTCGACTTTTAACGACAATTAATAGTGTTGTGATGAACCATTCTGATGGGATCACTCTTGACGAAGAAATCATATGCCCCTTGTCATATGCACCCTACATGCGGTTAAGCCTCGCTCGCGTCTAGTCTCAGCTACCGGATGCTTGTCTGTCTGTCTGCCTCCCTGTCGAGATCGCCCTTTCTACCTTTCCGACTTCCCTGTCGACTGAAGGATCTGTTGGCCCTCCAACATCAAGTGTTTGGACAAAATGCGTGCAGATGCCTATTTGAATTACCGAATGTATTCGGGCTACCGCCAAAAAGGTAATTTGCTCCTCAGTATCATACCATTACAAGATTACGAACAGAATATTGTGCGTTATCCCGCTCGGGTTTGGATAGCTCAGCGGTCAGTCACCAACTGGAGGGAATTTGAGAAACGAATTGAATGGCATTCAGTCCAAAGTTCCCGCGCGGTCAAAGGACTCATGACGGCTGCTCAATTTCCTGTGCCGTTGTCTCGTCCGCGGACCCCGCCCCCAGACATTACAACTGGCTCACCCGGGCTAGGTGCCTTGGCTATTCCTCTAAACATTGCCAGGATGTGGTTATAGACTTTTCGCATTTTCAGGCTACTTTTTCTATATTTGGTAAATTAACCTGTATTCTTGCTCGACTCGCCTCTTTTTAGTAATATTTACTTTTATTAGATCGAGGCTAAGAGACTTAACTTCCTTTCTTTTTCGACATCCGCACTTGATATGTATATGGGCAAGCCCCCCCATGGCCAACAAACGAGTTGAGGGTTCAGATTTATCGGAATCCTGTATGATCTTCTTTTCAACTGTTGTGAAACCTCGACCTGCTCGACTCGACTTTCTCCTTTTTCTCGTTCGTCTTTGTTCAAATCGTTCTATGGTCCTTGTGGCTTGAATATCCTTTGTTTGCAATTCCTCACAAGATCAGGACCGGGAGTTTACCCTTGTGGTGGCCCTGGCGTACCATATTTTCCCAGGCAGATCGTGCTTCTTGGAGATACGAAGGCAACCAGTGGATTCACCGCTCCATGCAGTATTTTAATACCTCCAGCTCTGCCACTTGAACGGCGTGGGCTCGGCTTGTGAAGAACGGAACACCGCGGCATTTTGGGGAGGATATAATAATCATCAGTGCTTCCTCTCCCCCACCAATCATCAACATCATCTCACAGCATTTTTGGGATCCAGGACACTCTCCTCATCCCCTAGCTTGGCAAACAGCTTGATTATTTCCTAGCTCTAGCGGTTTAGAATCAGAACGTCTCTTTAAATATGCCTCTGAACTGGCTCCAAGACTACCTGGAAAGGCGCAGAATCCGACGGAATGGAAATCGAAGAGTCCTTGATGAGCGATTTGGGGATCCTAATATTACCGCACCGATGGCGGGGGGCTGGAACCAACTGCCAGTAAATTCGACAGCTTCTGGGGAACAAGTCTTGCTGGGTGCTGAACAAGATAGCAACGGAAAGGGATCCAATATCTGGGTGAAATGCTGCCTTTGTGACCGCGAAGACGAAAAGGATACCCTGAGTTCCAATCCCCAGCCTTCATTGACTCGCACCGAGAGGGAGTGCAGTACGCCAAATCCCTCAGCGCGGAACTCTGGTGGTCCTAGCTTCGTTTACAAGCCTGCCAGCGAGGAATTTTTCAAAGAAATGGCCGGGATAGGCAAATCAAAATTGTCACCTACAGGACCCAGTTCGAACGACAGCGAAAAGCACAGAAGCAAAATCTCAACCATAAGCTCTGATGCCAGTTTCGTGGACCCCGTTATGTCGGATATCCCACGTCACCCTTCATATCATAGCCGACCTCGCACAGCATCATCATCAAACACGCCTGTTGGGTCCAGAAGCCCATGCAGCACATTCGTTTCCTCCGGCGACAGGCAGCCCTTCCAAACCAGTCCAGCACTTTCATTTTTAAACACGCCAAGCACAGCGAAGCAGAGCTCTGCTGGCAGCATCTATTTAGACCCGGAGAAGACACCACTCGAGCCGGTCAACGAGCGACATCATACCCCGGTCCCCGTCCAACCAACAGTGACGACTAAGTCGAAGAAGAGTCGCAAGAAGCAGAGAGCAGTTACAGAAGAACTTGTTCCTTCGGATGAGGATCTATTTGGATAATTGCATTTTTACTTGTCTTCCTGGTTATATCTGGCTGGCTCAGACTGTTGATATTTTGGACATTGTTCGTCATGAGACCGTACTTTACGCGGCCATTTGAGTCATCGGGACAGCAGATTCAATATGATTTTCCGTCAATTAACCGCGAACCTTTGACCTACTTGTGGCGCTGTTGGGTTGGATATAGATTTTATTTTACTACGGTCTCTAGACCTATTGTAACTTTAGATTTTTGCATTTCACTTTTTTTTCGTTTATACCCAGGGCAAAACATCCAGTTCGATTTCTTTTGTTACTTGCTTTAAGGTGGTCAATTTCCAACGGGAGGAAACATTGTATACCCTGGTGTACGGAGTTAGTTCTATTATTTTTGGGTATTTTATTGGATAACCCAATCCAGCATATTTGAGCGCTGTATGTTTTCAGTGTTATGACTAACGGATTCATTATGTATGATAAACTTTTGACTCGGGCTCAACATTATCACTAACCTTCATATTCATTGGATCACCATGGTGATAGAATTGTTGTTAAATATCATGTCAAATGGCAGCCCATTGCGGCACAGCAGCGTAGCACTACTGTCTAACGTTTCTTCACCGGCTACACGCGTTTCAATCAACCGTCGAAGCTAATGGAACCCACACTTAAAGCTATCACTTACTCCCTCCTCCCGATCTAGCCAGCATTATTTTTTCGGATGGTAAACGATTCGTCGTGAACCTTTGTTCCTCCCAGGCTACTTTGCGAAGGTACCTTTCGACTGGGTCTCCAACGCCATGGTAGACCAAAGAAGTTGGCTTTTGGCCCCCAGGATCTTGTTGCTGCCAACAGCCGTTGCCACCTGTCCAATGTTGACCCAGTTGCAATATTCCTTGAATGACCCGTTCTTGCTTTTTTTTTTCCCCTGTGCGTTTTTTCGAATTCTTTTGTGACCTAAAAAGAAGGACTCTGAGATGCAGGGGCACCAGTTCATATCCTAATAGCCAGTGGCGCGACACACATACAGTACAAGGCAAGCTTCCCCTCTCCCCCCTTTTGCCCTTACCCCTCTTTTTGTTCATGACCATGCGTAACAGAACCTAAGCTGTGATTTTCTTGTGCTAATGTCTGACAGGGGTGGCTGACGGGTAAAACCACACTTGTTTCGGTCGCCTATTGCCGATCAGTGCATTCATTCCTTTGCGTTTTCTTTATCCGATGAAGCGGGAGAAGGCAGGAGAAAGTCACCAACAGCAATGCAAGCGGCCGTTAGGACTGATTGGGAGACCATTTCTGCAACAATTCTGGACTATGTTAGCGTGAGGATTCGATAGGTGTCTTATAGTTGTTTGGGGGGGCGTGCTTTGGGGGCTGCAATGTTTGATCGCTTAACACGACCAACTTTTAGGGCAAGATTTTGTGCTCTAATTTTCGTATCAATCGACTTCGGCCCCAAACCTATCAGGTGGGTGAGCTTGCTGCTTCCTGCGGGATGGCTTTCGGCCTGACTCGCGAATCGATCGCTCAGTTAAACACTTCTTTGAAGTTCAGGCGAATACATCTGCGATTTCAACTTGTCCATTTTCCAAATGAAGACAACGGGAATGATTACAGAAATGCGGGGCAATCGGCGGTATGGAACCTCAACCTTAAGTTAGGATTCCAACTCTGACAATTGCCCGGATACCTGCTGCCTTCGGGTGATGCAAGTGTATTCGGTCAGCTACATGACTCAGCCAAAGGATAAAGAGGCTGGCTGCTTATCCGAACCAGGAAGTAACAGGAAGTAATGAACCTGTAAGGTTGTGGAGCAGCGTCCGCCCCAGTGGCGTTGCCATAGCGATCCATACCGGAAAAACGTAGGCTTATTATACGACCGGGTTATGGTTGTTCTGCTGTGCCAGTCACTGACACCGCTGCTGAACTGTAAAACTTAATATAATGATGAATTAGCCATGAAATCACTGTAAATGAGTTATGAACAGAATAAAATCATCATTATATTGACAATATCACTGATTTCTATCTATATAATCACTAATTCTAAAAAATGTCTCATTTATCAGAATCATTCTCTATTGAAAATCTATCATATCTCTCTATAATTTCTCTCAGATTCTCTGAATTATCTTTATATTATTATCATCATTTCTTGTCATATTCATATTAACATTTATTTTGAAGAACTTATAAATTGATGTTGAAGTTTGTAAAGAGTCAGTATCAATAATTATTCACTGTTTAAGAGAGAGAATTTCAGAGAAATTAGAAGCTATGTATTTACTTATTTATATTATTATTAACTTCTGTATAAATCTGAGAATTATTTTGCTGATTCTAGAATGTTGAGAGTTTCAGAGCTGCTTATAGTCAGAGAATTAACTAGAGTTAGAATATCAGAGAAGAAAGAGAAGAGAAGATCAGTAGCAGTAGCAGAGATATTAGTATTAACATCAGTATCAGTATCAGTGACAGAGATAGAAAGAGAATTATCACTATTATCAGATTTCTCATCACACTTCTATTAATAATCAGTGAATCTCTTGAATTACTTTAATATTTCATATATTTTAACAGTAATATTCAATGCATTCTGATTGATATTATTTATCACATTTATAAGATTCATCATTGCTTATTTTTAAGCTTTAATATAGTAATTTACTATTATTAAAATCTCATACTGCACTGCAAGCCTGCTTAGACTGACTGTGTGACCGTGTCTGAGACTACTGATCAGAACCAGAATTTTTGATAGTCTCATTGCCAATTCAACAGATCTCATTACACGGTTCTAACATTAGATAGTAGTCTCATACTGTCTCAGTGAAACTTACTGTCTACTCTTATCACATTTTTCAAATGAGACCATGATTTTCACTTCTCAATTTAAATTATTTTTATTGCTTTAAATGACTTTAAATCTCATTTGAGTGTTACCAAAAAGTGTTACTTTTTAAAAAATTAAAAATTGTGGCGTTCACTCTTGCTACTTTCTGAGGCTTCTGCCTCTTTCTTTCTGAGGCTTCCGCCTCTTTCTGAGGCTTCTGCCTCTTCCTTTCTGAGACTTTCACTTCTTTCTGAGACTTTCATCTCTTCCTTCTGTATGACTTCTGCCTCTTTCTTTCTGAGGCTTTCACTCCTTCCTTCTATAAAAGTCAATCACAATAAACAAACAAGCATGTATATATATATATATAGAGGCGTCCGCCCATCTCCATCTTGAAGAACAAGACAAGATTTACCTTTTTACATGTATGATACATGATCAGCATACACTACAGATGATATATGCTGCAATTTGATAGCATATCTCATTAAGAACAAGATTCTCAGTTCTCTTAGATTCTGCTTCATCTTCAAAAGATGTAACACTGATGATTAATCTGAGTTGCAGACAACAAAGTTCAGTCAACTGATGATTGATCTGATTGATTTCTCTACATTCTTTTCATCTTCAAGAAGATACAATACTGATGATTGATCTGAATTGCAGACAATGAAGTTCAGTCAACTGATGATCAGTCTGATTAGCTACTCTACCTTTTTTCATCACTGCAGCTGATAATCAGTTCAGTTGTGATAGACTCACTCTATACACATCTATTACACACTGCAATGGAGCAGGACAGGTGTCTCACTAGAAGTGGCTCCTGCCAGCCGCTCCGCTCCACTGGGCTGGACAAGTTCACTGAGAAGCAAGCTTTCTGTGAACCCACTCAGGGATCTGATGCTGGGCGCGTCTACTCGCAGATGACAGCAGAGAAACACACTGTCATGATCACAGAGATCTGACAGAACACAAATGAACAATATGATAGTATCAAGAATCAAGTCACATCATACAACTATGTTAAGACAGAGAACATTCTTATAAGAGTGTTCATCAGGTGTTACAATGATGTTAAGACAACCCTTGACTCAGTTCCTATCACAGAATGAAAAAATGTCATTGATTCTTGACTACAGACTTTCTATACAGAGGTTACAAAGTATACAAAAGAAAGGGGATCAATAGCTTCAAGCTATGTTGAGTTTAATGACCAGAGTCATGTTCCTTCTGACAAAGCTGCTGTATTAGATACAATTGAGAAGTTGAAGTAACTGAAGTCTCAGCTGACTCAGTGAGAAAGTGAGCTAGATGAGTATGAGCATCAGCTCAATCAGCAGTAGAATCAGCTGAATAAGTGTATCACTCTTATTGATAAGCATGTCAACAAGCTTCAGAACAATCTTCAATGTTTGATAGATGAAAGAAGCTGACTGACAGAGACATGAAGCAACTTCTGCATGAAGAAAGCAGTGCTCATCACTCAGAGACAAGAGCAGCAGTGTGAAAATCAACAGCAGCAGGAATAACTGACTCAAGTTGAAGATCATGATTCTCTCACTGAATTCTCTTGATAACTGAATGTCTTATTTGATGAAGGCTTCAAATCACTTCCTAGGGCCCTGCAGACATTCACAATCCCAAGAGAGCTGTATAATGCTGAGTGAGATGCATTCAGAGACAGAACTCATCACTCAAACATGATGAGAGATAGATTTAATTTCACATAAGAGACAGACATTTCATGCTTCATCTATGACATAGAAGAGAATCAAGTCCACAGAGAGTAAGCACTCACAGTACTCTTGAAGAGAGAGGCCTGTCTCACTTATGATTATAGTGACTTCTCACTAGACAATAGATCTCATTCATTCTCATGATGAATCAGTGATGCAGTTCACTACACTGAAGATGATGAATAAGAGCATTCAACACAACTGAGAGCAGGTGATGTTATACTGTTCAATTCAGTGAAAGCAGATGTAATGACATTTATCAGTTGTCTAGAGTTTATCATCATGCAGAAGAGAGAGAATGCAGTACTTTGAGTCTTTTCATTATACTTGAAGAGACAGGTATTAGAATGACATAACAGCCTGTCTACAGAAATGAGAAAGAATATGAGTACTTCTCTTCTCATCACAATTGACAAGCTGAGATGAGAATTTCAGCTATTGAAGAGAGAAGTCTGAGTGAAAGCTCAAGAACTGTGTTTCTTCTTTGAGAAGTCAGATAAGCTGCTATTGACACTGTATATCTTGTGAAAGATTAACTTACTGTGAGTCACCTCAATCTCTGACTCTGTGATGATGAAGAGACTTCTATGAAAAGAGTTGAAGTTGAATCTATCTCTGATCACATCTCTTGTTCTCACTAAGCATCTGAATGACTTTCAAAGAAGAATTAGAGACAATAAGTCAGCTGCTCAATACACTTAAACTGATTAAAGAACTCAATTCACTGAATATATATGAGACTTCAGATAAATTGATTAAAATAATAACTGTCACTCTTATCAGACCCCCTTGACCAGGTCATATATAAAAACTATCAAGTCATCTGTGCCTGCTGCGGACTCTGTGATGACTCTCTCTGTAAGCATCCCTGCAGTGAGCAGGCTGTTAATTAGGCGTGCAGAGGGCAAACCACCAGCGCCTGCAGTAGGGTGCTATGTGTGTGAGAGCTCTCATTACATCAATCACTGCCTCAGAAAAGAGGACCTAGTGAATCAAGTTGAATAAGAGAGTGACAGAGAAGAGAATGATGATCTATTATAACTAGATCTCAGTCTAGATTTCAACAGTAAGTCAGAAAAATAGACAATGAGTCAGGCACTGAGAGGCCTGCCTCATTCATGAATACTCTCTCAGACAATTATCTGAGTATGTTTAACACTGACATATATGCTATCACAGTGTGTGATGTCCTCACAAGTGATTAAGAATATATTAGTGAACTGTAGTACTTACTCTACATCTTTCTTACTATTTTCATTGATACTCTCTGAGATGATCTCTCAGTTTGCATTGATACAGGCGCGGGTATATCACTTGTTAACACAGTGATAGTAAGCTTATTCTTTCTCTGATATCAGCTGACTGCTCTGTCACATGACTGATGTGTATGCATTTGAGAAGTTAATTCAGATACAAATGAATTGAACCTATTCATATCAACAGCTCTCACTCTAAAGGCAGATGATGAGGCTCTTTTCCATCTGAAGAGTGAATTTCACCTGGTGTGATATCTCAGGTGCAATATGATTATAGCAAATGATATATTATCATCAGTGAGAGCTATCATCAATGTTCATGACAAGTGTATTGTATTTCATGAGAAATATGCTATAAATGCCAAGATCATCAGAGACACTATTCATGCAGGTAGAAACTCTCTCTCATTATAAAAGTAAAAAAGAATCACCATCTGCACTGTGAATGCCAATATTATCAATAATGATTCAATAGAGGAGTCATCTCTGTTTTCTATCTCACACACAGAATTATTTCTATTGACAGACACAGAAGATCATGATAATTCCCTTCAGATTCTCACAGCAGATGCTCTCACTGAGTGAGTCAAAGCACAGATATCAGATCACTGAGCAGTGAGTAATCATGAGACAATTCAGAAGATCATTGATTAACATCACAAACTTTTTGATCTTAATCTGAGATTATTTTCAGACAATGTGAAGATGCTGCTATAATTCATTAATGAAGATGATTTTTCCAGACTGAAGCAGTGACTATATCCTCTCTCACAGAGGGATTGAGAAGCAGCTGATCAAATCTTGAACTCACTTATTTGAAATGAGAGAATTGAGAGGGTTTCTCTTGAGGCCAAGAACTCTATCACTTTTCCCACATTCATGGTCTGATATAAAGAGAAACTGTGTGTGATTGTGAACTTGCAGAAGATCAATCTATGATTGCTTTCAAATGCATATTCTTTACTGACACAGCAGAATATTCTGCAGTTATTGAGCAGTTTCATAGTGTTCTCATCAATGAATATCTGTCAAGACTTCTTTCAACAGCTCATAGAAGATTCTGATCACTTCAAAATCACCTTTATCACACTGCACTGAGAGCTTGAACACTTTACAGTTACTACAATGAGATTGACAATCTCATTCAGATTCTTCCAGTAATGTATGAAAGAGATACTGGCACAATTCTTGTAGCAATTCATCTTGATCTATGTCAATGACATCATCATCTTCTCACATTCACTAAATGATCATCTTCATCACATGCAGGCAGTATTCACCACCCTCAAGGTATCTGAAGTGACAATGTTCTTATTCAAATGTCATTTTGCCTACCTCTCTGTGTGTTTACTGGGCCATCACATTGGCTGACTGGGAATATTCACTCAGAAGAAGAAGATAGCTGCTATCATAAACCTGGCCTTCTCTATAACTCTCAGAAAGCTGAAGAAGATTGTCAGCCTCTTCAACTATTACTGCAACTTCATGAACTTCTACACAGATAAGATAGAAGCACTGAAAACACTCAAAATCAGAATGCTGTGCAACAGCTCTCAAACAGGTCAGAAAAGAGCATCATATGCAGTGAGAATCAAATTGATTGAGTTTGAAGCATCCCCGCAATTTCAAGCCCTACTCACAGAGGCTCAACTTTCCTTCAATACTGTTAAACAGGCCTTAATGAACACTTCCATGAGAGCATATCCTGACTTCAAGCAATCATTCATTGTGTACATGAATTCTAGCAAACAGCATGAGATAGAGATCATGCTGCATTAGATGAGTACTGATGAGATTGAGAGACTCATTCTATTTCTATCACAACAATTGAACCCAGCAGAGAGACAGTATTGAGCAACTGAATTAGAGTGCTTGAGATTGATATGAGCTCTGAAAAAGCTTTCTCAATACCTCAATAGCAAATTCATCATTGTGACTGATCACATTGCACTCATATTCACTCTTCAGTCACTCATCACAGATCATCAGAGCAATCAATTGATGAATTGAGCTCTGACTCTTAGTATGTATATCCCACGCATGAAAATCTGCTATTGCAAAGACACTTCACATCACAATGTTGATACTCTCTCTCAATTACACACTCTCACAGACAATTCTGAAGAGATTCTGCAAGATGATCAAGAAAAGATATGCTAAGCACTCACTCAGTAAGCTGATGAAATCAAGGATGAGTTCATCACTGCTGTATCCAACATAGGCATCACTCTCTCAAATGATATCAAAGACCAATTGTGTAAGAACCTACTGGCTGATCCAATCTTGGAAAAGGTCTATTGTAAAGTGATGTGAGAGGGAAAATATCATTTATTCACACTTCAAGACAGTCTCCTGTTCTTTGCCAATGATCACCTCTGTATTACACAGACCTTAGCAGGAGACCTCATTCACATATGTCACAATGCTGCCGGACACCTGAGTCTTCATCGGACAGAAGACATTGTGCGCTGATCCTTCTTCTTATCTCACACTTGTAAACAGATTCTCAATCACATCTCACATTGTCTCAATTATCAACTGTCTAAGTCACTCAATCACTCTCAGTGAGGGAAATCACACCCCATCTCATCTCTGAAAGAACCATTTGAGATTCTGTCAATTGATTTCATTACAGAATTGCTGATAAGTGACAGCTGTGACACAATACTGACAGTCACAGACAAATTCTTGAAAGTCATCATTCTGATCACTGAGCAAGAGAAATGGGACACTCTGTGATGAATGAAAGAGTTCTACAGAGAAGTAGTCTGCTGCTGACAGCTCTCACTGATCATTATCTCAGATAGAGATCTCAAATTCACATCACAATTTTGAAAGAGCATTCTTCAACAGATGAGAATCAAGAGCTGAATGACAACTGTCTACAATTCTCATTCAAATGGTCAGAGTGAGTGAATCAATCTCACTGTTGAAATCACCTTGCAAGTGCTTCTCATAGGCAAGTATGAATCATCTTGAAGAACCCTACTCAATCAGGTAAAAAGAGCCCTGAACTCAGTAGCTGCTCACTCAGTGGTAGTCTCCTCATTTGAATTGCTCACAGAAGTCAAGCTGAGGTGACTGCTGCTGAGAGATAAAGAAGCCTCAGCAGATGCAGCTGAATTCATCACAGTTCATGACACTGTACAGTAGAACACTCTAGATTTATACACTCTCACAAAAGTCAAAATGATGGAATTCTTCAACTGCTTTCACACCCAATCAGTTATTAAGATGAGTGACTTTGTCTTCCTTAACCTGGCCTGCAAGAATGAAAAAGAATATACTGTTCAAGAATCTTCAAAGATCTCATCCCTGCAAACTGGCCTGTTTGAGGTTGTTGTGAAAGTCTCTGATGTTGTCTTTCATCTACTACTTCTCTTCAAGTGATGCATGCACTCTGTCATTTCTGTTATTTATTTGGAAAAAATGCTCCTACATCCTGCAGACCTTGAACATCCACTCTCAGAGTCAGTCATTGTGGCTAATCAGCCTCAATTTGAAATTGAAAAGATCATTGACAAACACACAGAGAGGGGAAAAACATATCTTCAGGTCAAGTGAAGAGAATATGAAGACCTGACCTGGGAATCTCTCAACATGATTGTGAAGAATACTTCAGATCTTGTCAAAGTCTTCATGGCCAAGAGGCCTCACGGGCGACCACATCAAGCCTAAGAGGAACAGGCAAGAAAGAGAATATCATGAGTAAAAGTAATAAGAAAAAAGAGAGGAAGAAGAAAAGAAAAGGAAATTCATTATCACTATTTTTAACTACTGACTGCAGAAGAAAAAGAAAAAAGAAGAAAACAGAACAAAGAAAAGCAAAATCAGAGGCCTTTCACTCATCACATTCATCCCAAGCCTCTCATCAATCATTCTCAAGCTCATGTTGCAGCTTCACCTCCTGTTTAGTGAGATGTGCATTCCAGAATGCAATGTCTGCTGACAGGCTGTCATTCATGAGATTGCTGAAGCATGCCTCACTAGGCAGCTTGAAGAAATGATTATCATTGATGATGTTATCTACAGCTGAGATCACATTAGCAAATTCCCTGATCTTGTCTAACTTCTTCTGAGCAGCCTGCACAGTGTTCAGATTATATTTATCAAGATTAGATAATCACTTCAACACCTTCAGATCCTATGTCATACAGTTGATAGTTCAATTCTCAGAAGATAAAATTGATGACTACTGCTCATCACTTATCTTGATGTTCTCAACCACTCTGACAGAAGTTGAACTAGCATCTTCCTCACTAATTTGAACATGCTTGATAGGTTTCAGAGTGACTGAACTCAAGGTCTTTCATTTCAACAGAGTGAATATCTTCTCAGCAGAGACAAAGATCAAATCATTTCCATCTGCATCACTATCTTCAATAGTATCATCCCTGTCTGCATTCACAGTCTTCTCAAACCTCAGCATACTTCTCTCAAACAGCAGATTGTCAGTGTTTTTTCCAAACCTGTACTGACTATGATGATTTAAAGAACAGCGGGCACTCTTGTTACCTCACTGACAGTTGACATAAGCATCATGTCTCTGCTGAGTCTGATTGTCATCTGAAGAAGTAATCACACACTCTTTGAATCACTCATGACCTGCTGTACAAGACTGACAAGATGTGAGAGCTACTTCTCTATGAGTTTGAAGAATGATGACATCCCAATTAGCTGAACCTTTGAAATCAACTGTTCTCAGAGTAATTAAGTCATCATTTGTCATCTGTCACTGCAACTTTCATTGTGCAGGTATTCATCTCAGCTACTTGATCAATCACTGACTGAGCAGGATAAAAAATTCATGATTCATAAACAGCATTTCCTCACTGTGTCCCGCGAGTCTTTTAATGATTGACACAGCATCTGCAAGTCCTTCTACAGTCGGATCCCACATTATTGATACACTCAGCCAGGCTGACTTCTCATCCTTTCAAAAGCATAGATCAGTTTTGTCATCATGATGCAGACAGTGCATACAAGTCATGCCTCATAGTCAAGGCATCTGATCATCTTCAATAACTCTCTTTCACCCTGTTCTCTCCAGCACATTATCCTCTAATATGCTACATTGCTTTCAACTATCCCTCCATCACTGTTTATCTGCTTCAGTCAGCTTCAGTTCCTCTTCATCTTTCTTCTCATGAATGCCTTTCACTGCTGGCTCTACTTCCACTTCTACCTGAGCTATCAACTTCACCTCATCTTCAGTCACTGCCTCTGCATCTGTATCTCTGTCAGAGAACTCATGTGTATTTGAAGACTATGACTTCTTCAGCTTGATGAATGATGTAATAAACTTCTGTTTAAACCCCTCTGCAGTTATATCTGAATCTTTTGAGCTTTCACTCTCAGATTTCTTCACTGACTCATTCACAGCTTTCTGGTCATGTAACCTAGCTGACTGATAACAAGGTACAACTGCCTTTTTCTCATCACTTCTTGAATCTACCTTAGACATTGAAGAATGAGGTTCTGACTCTTCAATTTCATTTATCTTCTCTGCAGTCTCAAGAAGAGCATCACACTCTTTCTGACTCAATGACTGAAATAATCTTTCCAACACTCTTCTTATGCCATCTCTGTCAAGACAATCAATCTGATCAATTGCTTCTCTCACATCTGATGTCCTGAATACCTTTCTTGAACTCATTGTCACAAGTTCTCTGAATTTCAACAAAAATTTTTTATGATAATGAGAATAATGATGAAAAGATAATAAGAAAGAGAAAAGAAAAATAAGAAGAGAGAGATAACTGATCACATTATATGCTTACAGATTATTCACTCACATCACTCCCAGCCTTTCAACAGAAGATCTGTCTCTTTATCATTCTCAATTCCCTTATTCTCTTTCACCCGCATTCACTCTGCATTTTACAGTTCTTCATCTTTCATCTATTTGTTCATTCTTATGACTTCTATTGTCTTGTTGTCTTAGACTCTTTATCTTTGTTTCATTATCACCTCATTGTACCCGTATGATATCCGCGAAAGACAAAGATTCTCTATGATATCTATTGTCTTATTGTCTCAGATTCTTTATCACTGTGTTATTATCATCTCATTGTTCCAACCCCTTCCTTTACCCGCCTCTCACACAAGAAGAATATTAACCTGCATCTGAAAAATGCCTAACTCATTTCTTATTAGATTTAGCTTTTTTTTCTGCCACCTCATTTTCAGGCGTCTGCTCCTTTTTGAACAGAGAGACTGTGACATTCATTCTTGCTACTTTCTGAGACTTCTGCCTCTTTCTTTCTGAGGCTTCTGTCTCTTTCTGAGACTTCTGTCTCTTTCTTTCTGAGACTTCCACCTCTTTCTGAGGCTTTCATCTCTTCCTTCTGTATGACTTCCATCTCTTTCTTTCTGAGGCTTCTGCTCCTTCCTTCTGTAAAAGTCAATCACAATAAACAAACAAGCATGTATATATATATATATAGGGGCGTCCGCCCATCTCCATCTTGAAGAACAAGACAAGATTTACCTTTTTACATGTATGATACGTGATCGGCATACACTACAGGTGATGTATGCTGCAAAAATAGTCTAAAAAAAACCTTAAAATGTCTAAAAATAGTAACTTTATGTCAAGAATGAGACTAAATGAGACTAAATGAGATTACTTTCTCATTTTTTTCAAGTCATGGTTTCATTTTGAGATCTGATATATAGTCACTTTACATGTTTATTTAATGATTAGTCTCAGCGGGATTCACATCAAGAAATGTATGAGATCAGATTAAATGAGATCAAACATGAAATTCATGATTCTGACGGTCAGTCTAAGCCTGCTTCTCTCAATTTTCAATTTAGTCTTCTCAATGATGACTTTCTTCTTCTCAACAGTGACTTTCTTCTTTTTAAGCTCAAGCTTTGTCTTTTCAATATTCAGTTTTATAAGAGGTCTACACTGAATAGATCAGTATAATATTAATTGATCTTATATAATAAAGAGAAAAATGTTAGAGAAGAAAAGAAAGAGAAAGTATGAGAATCAGCAATCAGAGTGAATATTTATATATATATGTAGTAATTAGACTAACCGTGTGACTGTGTCTGAGATCAGAATCAAACTTTACAGTTATTATATTATTTAAAAGTATTACTTCTAATCATAATTTATATTTATTACATTGATTTCAAATCACATTATTTCAAATATTAAAGATTTCAGATTCACTTTTCAAATAAAAATCTAGTTCTAAATAAAAAATATATTTGAATTCTTAGTCACATTTTCATTCTGATCTCATTATTGAGAATAATATTAAATGAGATTATGAAATCACTTCTTACTTACATAATATTATAATATAGTACTCATTTATTAAAAATTCAATAAAGAGTATTATCAAATATTATTACTTTTCTGAACACAGATTATAATTTATATAATTTTAATTATAAAAAAAATATAAAATATAAAAAAAAATAAAAAATAAAAAATAAAATAAAAATCTGAAAAAATCTGAATGAAAAAAAAAGAGAAAGAAAAAAAAATAAAAGAAAAATAAAAAAATAAAAAATAAAAATAAAAAAAATCAAGATTATAGAACTGTAGTACTTTTAAAATACTCACTCTTCAGAGTCTTTATAATATTCATTATTAATTATATATCTCTTTATAGTGAGAATAACACAGCTGTAATAAGTTATTATCTTAATATTATCTAATAAATAATCAGTATATATCTGTATAAATGTGAATATTTAGAAAATATATACTTAAAAAGTGTGATCAGAGTGAACTCTGCTATTACTTGAATAATATTAAGAATAGAATACTGAAATTAATAATTCTCTTCATCAATTTCATGAATAAGATGAGTGAAGATAATCTTGAGAAATATAAAATTCTCTGACTTCTGATAAAAATGACTCTCACAGAGAGACTCTATTTTCATAATATCAGAGACTGAGTGTTATTAAAAAGTGTTATTTTTATACAATGTATATATACTTACTGTGATAATTCATTCTCTGTGTATATAACTGAGAGTTATAGCTTTTCTATACTGTATAACTCTCTCTGAGAGACTGATACTGATTGGCAACTCATGTAGTCTCTCAGTTCAGTATATACTATATGTATACAGCTCTGTGTACTGAGACTGTGTTAATTATTATAATCTGATGTGATACTTGCTTTTCACAGATCATATTTCATTTGAGAGAGAAAGAGAGAAAGATATTACTATGATTTTATTAAGAGAAGATAAATAATTAGTAATATTAAATATAATTTAATTCTTCTGTATTTAAAATTTGATTAGTCTATACTCTTTAATTTGAGAATTTCTAAGAGTGTTTTAATAGTTTTCATATCAGCTTGAACTTAGTGATGAATTGAAGAAGAAGAGAAAAGAAAGAAGAAAGAAATAAGAATAACTTATCTTTATAATATAAAAATAGAGAATTGCTGCAATTATTCTCTCTAGTAATAAAGATCTGTTTTCTACATGTATCTCTAATATAGATTATATAATAACTGTATATAAAGAATATCAACACTACATGCATAATTATTAATAATTAAAATTGATTTTGAGTTTTTAAAAATTATTATACAAGTTGTAATCAAGTCAGGAATAATATATATATATATATATATTTAACTATTATGATTCACAAATCACTATAATGTATAAGTATCAACATTTTTTCAATATTGATATTTACAATATTAATATATTTTTAATAATATTATCTGATAATATAATTTAATAACACTCTCTTTCATAATATTAATATATTTCAAGAAATATGACAGAGATTAATCAAGATTATTTATTTATTTTTATACATTAATGATATTCAATCTGAGTTAGTACTAAAATTATAACTAAGTTAAGAAATAAGATTATTTTCTCTTATATTAATTCTTCTTACACATATCAGTAATCAGTTATTGAAAATAAATTATTATCTTTCTTAAATTATTATCATATCTTTTGAATTCACTTCTTTCACTTCTTTTACTTCTATTAAAGATTTATAAACTATTTAAGAAATCACTGTGAATTATAAAGTCTATATTATTTATAATTCAACACAGAATGCTCTCTTTCAATTATATAAATAATCACTTTATTCTTTATATCTGATTTCAGATTATAAAATTTATGAAAAACTTAATACAAACACTGAGATGAACTATGAAATAATTATTAACAGATTATATTGCAGATTACTGAAGAGTTATCTCTCTGCTATAATTACTATAACTTTATTCAGAAATATTTATTATAAACTGATTATAACTCTGAAGAAATTTTCTGACATCTGAAGTCATCAGAATGCAGATAATAAAAGAAAAATAATCAAAAAATTACTACTGAGCTGATAAGTTATTCTATCAGATAATAATTTTTGATAATACTAACTTTCTAATTTGAAGAAAATTATGTGAAAAATAATTATATATCAGTACTCTGATTTCATGACTCTTATCTGATAACTTCTGTGAATAATTTTTTCATATGTATATATCTCTGAATCTTTCTCTTTGATTAATTGAAAATTTTGAATTCTGAACACTTCTTTAAATACTTAATTCAAGTCTTCATATTCTACATCAATTCTGTCTTCAGTTCAATCTTGAGACATACTACAAAGTCAATATATAATATCTAGAATCAGAGTTAAAGAATTATTGAAGAGTGTCTCTCACAGTGAATGTATGAACTAGTATAAATAATCTTATATTTATAAGAGTTATATATTATTACATTGATGAGAACTGAACTTATCAAGAGATATTAATTGAATTTGAATCGTTAATCAGTAGTCATACTGAGAATTATATAATAGAGATATTAATGACTGTGATTAAAAATAACTATTGTGACGGGCTGCGCCTGATAAATTATATAGACTATTTCATTACACTCTATAGATTCTTCTATTTCACTGTTGAACATGTACACTCTGATTCTCGGCCATTTCTAATCGCCAATCCTCAGCCGCTATAAACACGTGTAATGTACACTTCGATTCTCAGTCATTTCTGATCACTGATTATTATTATTATTATTATTCTTCAATTATAGATGTATGCAGTCAGAGACTATAACATCTACCTGAGAACTAAAAGTTCTCAGGGTTTTTCCTATATCTATACAGTTAACTATTATACATTCATTGATTTCAGATATGCAAAATCAGAAAATTTCAGCTCAGAATACAGAAACTGTTTACAAATTACAGTATTTTAACATCTTCTGATACTTTGAAATCATTTGACATGACAAAAGAAAAAAGAACACAGTCTTAAAGATAGACACATTAAATAGATAGATAGAAAAGAATAGAAAGAAAAAGATAAAGTAAAATAATAAGAGACTGTAATGAAACAAATTATTGAAAGATAGTATATAGCTGTTTTAACAGACTATATCTGATCAATTTCCTCCTCTTCATATTCAGATATTTCTGAATTCAGTCATTTTCTTGTAGCTG